TTAGTTACCTTGATTAATCGAGATTATACTATATATTTTTATTTAGACTATCAGTGAAAAATGTGGGTAGATCCAAATTGAAAATGAGAATTCAACTATTTATGTAATGGGTTACTAAATACATATGAAATCTGAATGTTAATCTGAAACAGGTTCATTTAATAAATACAGTTAGGTATATATTACAATCTGATACTTTGTTTTGGAAACTTCAGTTCTGTTTCCAGAATCAATTGAATTATTCTGAGGTTGATTCTTATGATTTAATTTCAAATGATTTAATTCCGTGAAAAATATACCTGATTTTGTCATTTTTCATCATTTTTTAGCAGGATAAAAGTATATTCAGAAATAATTTGTTTCTAGAGGATAAGGGACATATTCATATTAGTGTGTAAACATCATGCACACCTTCATATTGGAGGTTTAGTTTTGTTTGAAGTATTTCTTTGGTAGATTTAAATTTTATTATGCAAAGGTCATAAAGATGAATTGCATGAGAGGAATGGCAGTCTGTGAAAGTTTTATCCAAACAGCCTTATTGAAACTTATTTCAAGGTAAAATTAAAGAAGCATTCAGTAGTTTCCTGTGAGCAAAATGATTGGTTCACCATAACAATGCAAAAATGAATTTTTTTCATAACAAGACAAAATATGTATAAATGAAATTAATTTAAAGTATTCAGGTATCTAAAGTATTCCATATTTAATGTGTTACCTTAAAGTATTTTGAGAAATTGTGAGAAACATATCATTTTTGCCCTTGTAAATGATGATCTGTGTGTATAATGGTTTTTATGTTGTGCATTTTCACATATTTTCAAATTTGTTAGCAGAAAGACAAAAAGAAAAAAAATCTTGCCTGCTCTTCCTTTAAATTTGTACTTGATGTTAAATTTAACATGCAATGTACAATTGAAGGGTTGAAGATTTTTTATAAAGGTGATGCAATAATTAAACACCAAAAATTAATAAAATCACAATATTTAACCTTTCTTCTTTCTCCAAACAACATTTTTCAATCAGTTCAAGTGCAACTGCAAAAAATAAACCCAAGGCTCAATTTACATAATACAATTCCTTAACTGTACTCTGTTGTAGACAAAACATAATTCTAAATAAACACATATCCTAGCTGCAAAAATATTCATTTTTTAATACAAGTTCTTAAGTACCACATTAACATATTACGTTAACAAATAACTTACAAATAAAAATATTATCCTGATCTGAGAACTAATCTCTGAAATAAATATTCACATTAGTTTACATCATCATTATTTTAACCTAATCTAGAGACAAAACTCTAATATATTGTTGCGTTTTTTTTTTTTTTTTCATTCTTCTGCCACTAGTTGTTGCATTATTTTCTTCCTTCACGTTCGTACAGGGTTTGTGTAGATTTGGAGTGAATAACAACGACACTTTATGAAATATAGAAACACACTTTATTTAGACAATATTGTCAGGACAGCTCCAAAACATGTTTTACGGTCGTCGATGAACTACTATAAACACGCTGACATGATCAGCGACACACCCTTCAGGTTATCAGGCTATCATCGTGGAGACAGCTTCCTGCAGAGCACCCGACCCTGCTTTCCGGAGTACAGCTCCCGACTCTGCTTGGTCGTTCTCGGAACTCCACGTACCCTCGAGACTCTCCACGCTACAACACGCGATGCACTCGACGACACACAGAGCACAGCTCCTGACTATCGGTTCAGTCGTTTTCTCTCGACGCACTAACCGCGATGCTCTATGAGACTCTTTTGGTGCACTCGACGACCCACTCGGCACTCCCTGGGCCAGCTGTCAACGCGATCGCTTCCGCAGGAATTGACTCGCTAGATGAGACACAATAGCTTTTGGCTTGTGTTCGGGAACATTCTGGGCTAAACCGGTAAGAATTCGTTCCAGAAGGTTCTCCATGGTATATCGCCAATTTTGTCACCAAATGTAGCAACCCTGCCTTCCCTTGCCATTTTAGGGCAACTCTAAAACTGCTCTGCGGGGATACTATCTTACCGCGCCTGTACATTTCGTAACAATATATTAACATTTCAAACATACAAGTTTACATAATCATTTCTACCACTGAGAGGAGGTGAAGATTACTAAAGGATAACCTATGGAGAATCCAGCTGCAAATCAATTAATGTAATGCTGAGTCAATTTCATAAATGTCTATAAATTGGAACACTTCATCAGAATATGGCAGGCACCTTTATTGCCAGTCTTTTCGTAAACGTCAGAATACTGGAACACTTTATCAGTATATATAGCAGGAATCTTTATCGCTCAGTTTTTTCTTAATTGTTGAAAAAACTGGAGCACTTCATCAGTCTATTGCAAGAACTTTTATTGCTCATAAACATCTGTTGGAACTTGTTTTCATTGCTTTTCATCTTCACTTCTAGGTCTGTAACCCAGAAAAATCCCATCTTAAACATAAGAGACAGTTCATCTCATTACCACAGATAGGGGTTCTTATTGATCAGACAAATCCAAGTCATCTGCCATAAATTCTATTACTATCTTGAAAATGACAAACGCTTCTACTACCAATCTCCAGTAATTTCTCTCTCTCTCTCTCTTTTTTTTTTTTCTTTTCTTTTCCTTCTCATTTTTGCTAAACTTCTCATCCACCTGGAAGCAAGTCCAAAGCTGACCTCCCACCAAAAGCCCATCTTTCAACAAAATCCTCTTTAGTTAACTCCAGACTTAATTATTAATTGAACTACATATTCTGATGCAACAGTGCCTCATTTGTAGGCATTGCAGATATTTTCTACAGTTTTATTATTTTCTATTCTTGCTACTTACCACTTAACCCCTATTTTATCAGCATTTTCTGTCAAGGAGTCCACAACATTTAGAAATAAAATTTGAAGCCAAAATCTCTATGAAACAGAATAACTTTTGTTGCTTGTTTGGCAGTGCTTAAGTATCTATGCATAATTAACTATTATGATTATATAAATGTTCTACTTGGCAACATAAATAGTTGTAAAACATTATTTCATTTATGTCAAAGCAGTATGCTTATAATTATCATAAAAATTGTTATTTATTTATATCTTAGTTTTAACCCATTAGCCGCTGGTGTTGCGTTGACGCAACGGTCAAAATAAATGCATATATAAATATACTACCTAAGATATTTTATACCAGCAGATGATTTTGTGCAGGGAATATTATGAAGATTATTTCTATAAAAAATATTTGCCTTCAACAATCATTTTGTTTATAATAATTAATCTCATACTTTGAGCAAAATTTTCGACCAGGTATTTTTGCTGAAAATATTTAACGAAAGAATCGCCGTCTTTATGAGTGATCTATGTTTAGTCAAGGTCACCGTTTATCAGAACATTACATCAGTCAGATGCTTATATTTGTGTTGGAAAGGAAGGGAAAACAGGTGTTGCACTGATGCAACATCAGCAGGAAACGGGTAGTCAATCTCCTTTTCCACTCATTCCTTTCAATGTTCTGGTTCATGTTCTGGTTGTTTAAAAATGCCTAGAACGAGGTATCTTACATTAGAAGAAGCCCTTCAAAGATTTTTTGATGAAGAAACAGATGATGATAATGTTAATAATGACCAGAATGAAACTGATATTGTTGTTGTTCCCCCAGAAATTGCAGAATCTAGTGACGAAGAAGAAAGGGATGGCAATGTTTTAAATAACGATAATGATATTTTACCAAACGATACTGCCGGGGAAGTTGAAATTCACATAAGAAGTAAGTTTCAGCCTTCTAAAGGCAGTTATAGTCATACTAAAAAGTTTAAAAAGCAAAAGACTGAATTCTTGAAGTGGATAAAAAAGGATCTGTTAGTTATGTCTCAGGAAGAACATGAAGAAAGAGATAGAAAAGAAATTATAAAAGACAAAATACAAGGTAAAACTAGTGCACAGATTTTCGATTTTCGTTTTGGTTTAGACATTTACTTTCTTCTCGTTGAACAGACAAATATATACGCTCAATGGGGAAAAAGGGGGGGGGAAGTGCGCCCAGAATTTATTGCATCTGAAGCCTATATGAGAAGATTTATTGGAATATTATTGCTTACAGGATATCATTCTTTACCTCAAGAAAAATTTTATTGGTCTTTTGATAAGGACATTTCTGTTCCTGTTGTACGAGAATCGATATCACGTTTGCAGTACAGGAATATGAAGCAGAATTTGCATTTGACAATAGTCAAATTGATGGTACTGATAAATTATATGAGGTGAGACCATATCTAAACTTACTAAATATCACCACTTTTTACTACTGGAAATATAAAGTCTCTTTTAGATTTCAGACGTGAGAATGCATTATTCCTTTTGCAAACTCCTATTGAGAGTGTAGAATCAGCCAGAAATAGATCAGCAACAGGAAGACCTAGTAAATTCAGCATTCAAAAACCATTGCATGGAGATGGTAGACATTTTATTGTAAAGTCCGTTGATAACAAAAGACTTTGTTGTAAAGAGTACCATAGCCAGACTGTTTATAGATGCAAAGTATGTAATGTAGCTTTACATCATGATTGTAATAAAGCTTTTCATGCTTGAATCTTTCAATTGAAATAATTTGTATTTGTAAAAGAAATACAATGTGTATTTTAATATTAAATTAATTACAAGTAAAGTGATTTGTAGATTTATAAAACGTTATACAGCTAAAAAGTAATCCTGCGCTCTACTCAAAAGAAACATCACACGAGTACAATCCTACTCACTAAACATCCGTAGTCTTATTCCGCTGACGTTGCGTGAACGCAACACTCGCGTTTTCCACAGGTAAGAGCATTTTTTTTTAAATTTTCAATGTAAATTCATGTTATAAATGCTTAATTTAATATTTGTTATTATTTTCATGAGAAAAGAAACATTCCTTGTAGTTTTGGTGGTTAATGGGTTGACATGGTCTGAAAAGATACGTAAACATATCTAGCATTCCTATTGAGTTTTTAATACTAATGAAATCTTTTTACCTTTTAGATTCTGATCGTTTTGTATTCCTGCTGTGCACACGTGCTGGTGGGTTAGGTATCAATTTAACAGCAGCTGATACCGTTATAATATTTGATTCTGACTGGAATCCCCAAAATGATCTACAGGTTTGTTATATTACTGTATAAAGTTTTAACTTATGATTCTTTAGCCAGCATATGAAACTTTTTTTAAACCACCGCGCTTAAGTATTTTTGATGATTGCTAAAATTTATTCATTAACCCCATTTATTAATTCAATATAGGCTCAGGCCCGTTGCCACAGAATTGGTCAGTCAAAAGCGGTGAAAGTGTACCGACTTATTTGTCGAAATACATATGAGAGAGAAATGTTTGATAAAGCAAGTCTGAAACTGGGTTTAGATAAAGCAGTCTTACAGTCTATGACAATGAAAGAGAATGTAGGCATGGTAAGTAGTCAATTAATAGATATAATTTATTAATGAAAATGTACATATTTTGATTGTTTTTGCCATTTATTACTTGATTGATGATTGAGCCGCATTGTCATCACAATGAAAAACTTCTTTTATATCATCTTTATTTAGTATTACCGCTTCTCCACATTTCTGTTAATTGGAAAATTTTACCTTTGTTTGGCGATAATCCGATTTTTGGTAAATTCTTCCTCGTCAACATTTTTTAGAGCATTTAACTTAAGTCTGTAATCATCGCCAAGCCTATCTGTAATGTGTATATGAGCCAGTTTCCCTTAGAAAGTCCTCCACGTAGGGAACCCTCCCCTTATGCAGATATCCCTTGTGTGCTTTGCCATAATTAAATACATCATAATCAAACATCGCCAAGCGTAATGTCAATAGAAAAGGTTACCACACTCCTTTATTGTTCAATTTTAAACATAAAACAATTGTTTAGACATCACTACATAAGTCATTACTCAATTTGTCATGTTTTGATAAACAGGTGATGATGAAAGGAAAGTATAATAAATAATGATTCTCTCCAGGTTGGCGTCAGATCAATGATGTATCTATGTGGAATGTTTCGGTTTGAGATGCATGCCAAGCAGATACTTGGCAACGGAGCCAAATTACTGATTGTACAAATTTATGCTAAAATGGTTGTTTCTTCAATAACAAGGTATTTTATTGTGTCGGAGCGAAATTAAGAGTCAGGACTCTCCAGATGTTTTATTATGTGCAGAAGGGAAAATCAAATGTGCATGCGTAAAGCCTATGAGAAAACATTGCTGGTGTTTTTGAGGTCCGGATTTTAGATAATTCCGGATAATGGAAGTCTGGATTTTGGACTTTGTACTGTATTAGACATATTAGACATTTTGGTGCACATTTGGCAACTTGTGGCTTGTTAAAGGGAAATTTGTAAAGCCTTTTTCTGCAAACTTATTTTTATTAATAGTAAATATAGGAAAGTTATTTTTTCAGATGAACATGTATCCCTCTAGCTGGCCAGGTTGTATATATTTTCTGGAATATTTTTTTTTAAGTAACTATGTCTATGCATCCTAAATTATATCCAACAAGTTAAAAGAATGTAGTAAAAGAAAAAATGCCTAACACATTTAGATGTTGTAATCTAAAAGACAGCTCTTTCTTATGACAGTTTTAAGGAGTTAATCCAATTCCAAATGCATTTTCTGATAGTAAAATTAGATGGAAAATTTTGTGTTTCAGCATCACAGCCTTCTTCCCATTATTGGCACAACTTGGATATTTTCTAATTAATTTGGCATAAAATTCAAGATTAATTTATAATGATTTAAAATCAGATCCTTCTTTTTTGATGACCCTGTGTATAATATAGTTATGAAAATACAACAATTCATATATGTTTTATAATCTGCAAACCCTTGCTTTAACTCATTTTTTTTTAAAGGCATACTCTGTTATACTACAGTAAATTAAATTTTTTATTAGTTAAATAATTGAGTAACTTGTTAGTCTAGATTATTTTTTAATTTATTTCAAATTAAACTTAATTTGTCTGAATTGTTCAGTGATCTAAAATTATGTGCCACCAGCATCTAACTGATTTCTAGACTACAGTCAAAAGTCGTTAATCCGGACTCGTCGGGACTTCGGTGATTCTGGATTATCGATTTTTCCGGATTATAGATCATCAGTTTAAATCGCGTAAGATGGCATGCAGAAATTCTAAAATTAAAAATATGAAACCGTAATTTATGAAATAAAGAACAATTATGATCTAAAGGGTATCAAAATTTACAAAAAAAAGCTTAATATTTATTTGTTTACTTTATTAAACATTTCTTTCAATGTAAGTTGTTTAAGTTGCTTCGTTTTATGTGATAATACTTTCTCTTTAATTCTATAAACAGACATCATTTTTTGTTGAGTTACAAAGTTCAGTTGTTCAAGTCCTGTTAATTGCTGTGTCGAGAATACCGACTAACTTGTCAATCAAAATTTTTTCGTTTTCACTAACCTCTCTGTCACCTTCTTCATGTCTTTATCCATTTTTTGCAGCAATTCCGCTTTTTGTTTGATGGACATCGAAACATACTGTCGTTTTGTAGATCCTTTGGGAGCTCCAGCATCGGAAATTCTATTTAACATAATCAAAAGTTCAAGTTTACTTTTATAAAATTGCTCTTACAGTCTTCAAAAAATAATGAGCCAGACCAACTCGAAGATTAAGGAACAATGCAAACATCAACATTAAATGAAATAGATAATTAGATGCAAGTGTGCGCAAGTGTCAACGCGGCGCATGCGCAGAAAGTTATTAGCTTTGAGGTCCAGATTATGGGTGTCCGAATTAACGACTTTTGACTGTATTTGTAAAATTTCATATAGTTAAAACAATCATATTGGTCCTACCATTCATTACGAATCATCATTTTAGTTACTTGAGCTGCTTAATAAAAGTTGTTAATAATTTACCTATATAGTATATATATAAAAAATCATTAATGTGTAAGAATAAATTTTAAAATTTATTTGTAGCTCAGCTAAAATTTGTTAAGCAGTGCTTAAAAGTATCATGTGGTTATATAAAATATGCTGTAATGTCATATAGTGTTATTTTTTTAAATATGAATATAACATGAATTTTTTTTTTTGAGTAAGAGTTATTTTGTAATTTTGTTTTAAATGTTATAGCTATTCAATTATTAATAAATTGATCTACTGTCTGTTTGAAATTGATATGTAAAGAATAGGAAGTTGGGTATGTTTGTATTATTCGTTACATCTTTACAGAATCAGCAGATGTCAAAGAAAGAAATTGAGGATTTGCTACGTAAAGGTGCTTATGGTGCTCTCATGGAAGATGACAATGCTGGTGATAAATTCTGTGAGGAGGACATAGATCAGATTCTTCAACGAAGAACTCAAGTTATTACTCTTGAAAGTGGAACTAAAGGCTCTACTTTCTCCAAAGCAACTTTTACATCAGCTAGCACAAGATCAGACATTGAAATTGATGATCCTAATTTTTGGGAAAAGTGGGCTAAGAAAGCAAATTTAGATGTTGATGAATTGAAAAACAGGGTAATTAATTGTTTAGTTAATTTTTTTATTTCATAAAGGGAAATTATATCTGCTATATTTCAAGTTGATTGCAATTGAAATTTATATACCATTGAATGGAAGCTGATACCATTGAAATTTATATTTCTTCTCCTCAAAAAATGAAATAAATTAAAAAAGGAAATGTTGCGTCAGGTTCTTCTATTTACAATAAAATTAATGTAAAATTCCTTACCTGCTGCATTTTCAGTGTTCACGACGCCAGGCTTCTAATAATCACATTTTCCAGTAAGACTTTCTATTATAATTAACAGGTCATCTTGTCTTTTAATTATTTATTGAAATAAGACACTAATATACACTATTTACAAAGTAGGTAATAATTATTTTAAGACAGTACATTTTAATTCTGAGTCTTTACGCTCCTCAGAGCGGTTCCAATCTCCTCTGGTTCTCGGAACTTAATTACAGCAAAAGTAAAGGAAGAGATGCCCGCCACCTAGTGGCAAGAATGTGACATCCTCCCACCTTTTGATTTTACCTCGATAAGATGCGAAAACAAAATTTATCAATAATCAAACAAAAATTCAAGTACAACTTTCACAAATAAGAAAAGTAACTAATGCTCTAAAATTAATACTTACAAAGAAGGATTACACATCTAAACATTTTCTGCATTACATTCATACCATATCCAGATAACATGTTCCAATTGACTACTGTTAGGACAATTAAATTTCTAAAATACTGAAAAGAAACAAAATTAGTATAGCAATTTAAAAATAAGTAACAGGTTTTACAGTTTTACGTCCATATCTAGTTTGATAGTTCATATCACTGTCACACTTATCGGCAGAGTTTTTTCTGTTCATGGTGAAGTCACTAAACAAGTTAGGTCTATCAAGTTCGAGAGGATAAATACGTTTCACAGGTCTTAGGAGTTCACCCGTTGCAGTTTTCACTTTGACAACACGTACTTCGTTGTCTTTCCCAGGATATAGTTCTACAACACGACCTTTTGGCAAATCTATTCTCTTCTTGTTGTCGCTGCCGACAAACACCAAGTCATTTTTGTTGATAGTCCCTGAGTAGAATCGTTTAGGTGGTTTTTGCACTAGGATAGCTAAATATTCATCACGAAATCTTTTGCGAAAATGTTCTCTTAAGTTTCTGCAAGAACTTGTATCTTTTTGTCAGATTGAATGGTATCCAGGTAGTCTAAGTCTGGTACTCCGACGTCGTGCACATCTTGTAGAAACATTGAAGGAGTTAGTGCCGTAAGATCATTTGGATCTTCTGAAAGGTACGTAAGGGGTCTTGAGTTATTATCACCGATTCGATATCACAAAGTATAGTCAACATTTCCTCGTAAGAGACACAGGACTTTTCCGAGAACATTTCTCAACATCTTCTTCACTGTTTGTACCAACCTCTCCCACCAACCGCCCCACCATGAAGCCCCCAGTTGGGGATTAAACTTCCACTGTATTTTCATACTAGTTGAATGACATTCTTATTTCTTTCCAATCTATCGATCTTAACAGATTTTCAGTTCCAACGAAATTAGTGCCATTGTCGCTGTAAATAATACTTGGACAGACCTCTTCTGGCAATAAATCTCCTTAATCCCAAGATGAGACGCATTTGTTGATAAACTTTCTATCAGCTCAAGATGTATCGCGCGATAGACCGCGCAAGTAAAAAGCAAGATCCATGCCTTTTTTCCTTTTCTTAAATAAAGAGGACCGGCTACATCGACTCCGGTCACTTCAAACACCAGAGCATCTCGAACTCGATCTTCAGGAAGAGGTGCTGGAACAGTCTCTATATTCTTTGCGCTATATCTTCTACAACGAACACACTTCATAAGAACTTTATGTACTGTTTTTTTTTTTTCGTCTCAGGACCCAGAATTTCTGTCGAATATTGGCTAGTACGGAATTGCACACCAGCGTGAGACAATCGTCGCAAATGGTAATCTAAAATCTAACCTATGAACTAAGTTATGATTTGAGGGCAATACAATTGGACAGAGAAAATTTTCTTCTTCCTCTCTTCTAGTAATCTTGGTTTTTAACCGAATAAGGCCATCTGAGTCAATAAAAGGTACAAAGGTTGCTAACTTTAAGTTCTTTGCCAAATGCTTCTATCTGTATTAATCTTGCATATTTTCTTTTCTACGTTTCTATTTCAGGGACCATGAGTTCTCCTGATTGTTTCGAATCTGGTCTTCTGCAGTTGTTGATAAATCTGCATATCCAAGCAGTTATTCTTAACAGGAAACATTGATTCATACTGCAATACGTTTTGTAGAATAATTTGTTTATAATGTATTATGTGTGTTACTCACTTGTTTATAATGTGTAGTATTTTAATTATAATAAATGTATCCAAATTTTATAATTACTATATGTGAATTATGTTTTAATTAAATTTTTTTAACAGTGCATGAATGGGAACCCTTTTTATAAAATTTATTGTATGCAATAAATCTTAAATCAAGTAAACGTAAGAGTCAAATAAAAATGTTTTTTTTTTTTTTTTTTTTTTTTACAAAAGTAATCAACATTTATTGCTTACATGTGTATGATAGTATCATGCTTATGCCATATTGAATTTATAATTTTTTTTAGTGTATAACAGTATTAATTGTAAAAAAAAAAAGAAAAAAAGGGGGGGGGAAGAACTGGAGAGTAAAATTAGAAATACGTATCTGTATTGAGAGAAAAAATGTGTGAACTGATGATTTAGCATATACTGATCTAGAAGCTAGAATATGTTCTGATTAAATTATTTTTTTTAAACAGTTTAAAATAGCAGTGTCTTACTAATATGTAAATAGGAAGGTTTTCATTTTCAAAATATTCTAAAATGAAAAAAATTATTATTATTATTTTTTAATTAGTAAATAAGCCTTTAGGTGGATAATTGAAGTACCAAATGATCCAGAAGTAAAGCTAAAAGTACAAGTATAAAAAGTAGCATGATGCGGTTTTCACAAAAATACAGCATGAATTTATTTTTAATAATGAAAAAATTCATTACCGGACTATTTATATTCTTTTGTTGACAGGTTGTGCTGTAGCGGTCATGGGAAACTGGCATTTCATACAGGGCTTCGTTGATCACTCGAGATAATCCTGAGTGATATGCTTACAACATCCAACACACACAGAAACTAAAATCAACTGTTTTCCAGAGACATTGTGAATTTGCAAAGTTTGACTCTCAGTCGTTTTATGGACTGATAAAGTGCACTTAACGGTGCTGTAGATATACACAACTCTCTTATCTAGACGAGAAAGAACCCACACTTGATTGTGGAAACCTCTTGCATAAGCTTGACAGGGTTCACTATTTCAATCATTATAGATGCCTTTTTAGTTAAGGAAACTTACAGATGTGCATTTTAGACAGTTTTTAATCACAGTCAAGTATTATGCAGTGCTTTTAAAAGGCAGCATCATTCTTTCTTTGCAGGAAAGGCAGATACTCTATAGTCTAACATTCATGCAGGATGAAGCACATCTACACAGGTCTTGTTCAGTCCGCAGTGTGATTATCATTTGAAAATGATATTGTATGCAGTTACTGTTTTGGACATGAATGACCATCAAGATTGCCAGATTTGAAACTTGTGACTTTTGATAATACGCTACTTGAAGTCACAGGTTTACAGAGGTCAGCCAGTGGTATTGGCAGTATCGAGGAAAAAAAAAAAAAAAATACCTTCATGTGACAAGAATTGAAGCTAAACTTTTCAGTTATTGTTGTACTACATCTGATGGCCATTTTTTGGAATGATGACAGTCATATTGAATATTTGTAACCTTAACAGTGTTGCAAATTGTGTTGTGTCAATAACACAATTCAAGCACCACCTGTCAATGAAAAATATAACTATTCTGGCAATAAAATCTACTATCTATTATTAAAAAATTATTACTATTAAAAAAAATCTATGTTCAGTGCATTTCCTGTTAAAACTGTATCATGCTATTGTATATAATTTTTTAATTATTGGACTTTTACTTTTTATGTTACATTTTGATCACTCTGTATATGGAGCTTTATATAGCTTAATTTTTTTCCTTTGGCAATACCATTTACTTTTCTATTTATGTAGAATGAACTAATAATCCAGGAACCACGTCGAAGAACACAAACAAGAAGATTTGGTACTGATGATTTAATAGACTTATCAGATTTAGATAGCAGTGATGAAGATGATGAATCTATTTCTGCACGAACTAGAGCATCAAGAAAAGGTTCAAAAAATCGTTCTAAAAACAGAGGCAGAGAAAGAGATGATGATTTCATGGATGATGTTCCTCCAGGGAATTGGACACGTGCTGAATGCTACAAGATGGAAAAAGGATTACTTACATTTGGGTACTTGGAAAAATTTTTTTATTAATTTGAGTTTAAAATTTTATACAGTAAAAGCTTAACGATCCCGATATTCAAACAACCAGAATATTTTTTAAAAAATTCCCCCCCCCCAAATTTAATTAATGAGAGATTTTTAATGCCATTATAGAACTCATAATACTGTTAACACTTATACATTGTTACCGAACAGCGTGCTTTAACACCAGTAATGGATAAGCGTGACTTAACGTAAGATCTTTGTTTTGGTTTAATGTAAATTCGATTAATTCTTGATGAGCTAGTTTAATTTTTGCGAAGAAGAATATAAATTCGATTTTTCCTTCCACTTGAAAAAAATTATTAATATCTGGAACTGCACGAATTATTATCTGGACATAAAAAAATGCCATGATATGTGACTTTAAAAGTGCATAAACAATGGTGTGAAAAACTGTAATAAACAATTTAAGTTTTTTTATATCATGTATCTGTAATTTGTATCTCTTCATCATCTCTAAGGAAAAATGATATGTTTATAAAAATTCGTGCTGGAATAATTGGCGACATCTTTGCCATTTTCATATTTGGTGGAATTTCATGATCGGATGAGATCTACAAAGTACATCATCTTTTATAAGACTGAAATGTGTTCTTTTTCTGCCCCTTCCAAAATCTTCTGTAGGCTTTTGATATTCAAGTTGATAATAAATAAGGTGATTGTTTTTATAATTTTGGGGCATAAATTTTTCGCTCTTCTTTGGCTTTTCTAACGTGAATTCCAATTTTAATGTGCACAAGTGTTTGGAATTTTCATATAATCTGAATTCGGCATTTCCCGAGCTTTCGAGATAGTTGAGCTTTTACTGTAACAGTAAAATTATTTTGCCCCAAATGTATATATACAGTAGAACCTTTATTATCTGAGAATCTGTCAACCAATTTGTCTATTAACAGGGTTGCCACGCTACCTGGAAAACCGGGAGAACCGGGAAAAGTCAGGGAATTCGAAAATTGACCAAAAAATTCAGGGAAAAGTCAGGGAATTTAAGTATTTTTGTCAAAATCTGGAAAAGTCAGGGAAGTTCATATAATGATCCCGCCAAAAAAAGCGATTTTTGCGCCGACGTCGGAAGAGATAACTTTTTTGGCGAATTGCCTATCACGTGAGTGTCTGCTGGCATAGAGCCAATTTTCGCAGCTCCAATTTGATTGCCTTTTAGAAAGGCAAAGCAAGTTTCCCGCAACTTTTGGTTTCCAGTATTCTCGAGAATCGCATGTGCAGTGCATGAACTAAAGAAAGTACCTGTTCTCGTATAAAACAAAATGGGTTTAATCTTAGTATACGGTACTATGGAGGTTAGAATCAAAGAATATGTATTGTAAAGAAGGAAAACCTCTCTGCAACAGACGTGGCTCCGTTCCATCATAGAGGGAAACTGCATGCGTGATATATCTGCTGCCGCCAAAGCTGGAAACCGGTGTCGAAGTTCGAAGGTCACGTTATCAAGAGTTCATTAAATGAATATCCTTTAAAATTTCTTTAACCACTTGCGCTAAAAAGACGTGCCACGCACGTCGAGATGTTTTTGTCTCAAACTGCGAGCGACGTGAACACCACGTCGATAAGCATTTATCGCAAAAATGAAAATAACATGGTGCACACGTCGCCTAACAACGAGATTATTTATTTCTCGAGTTACAGCTCTGGATTGCACTCGCAGATGCGGAGCGGCGTAAATGAGACACTTTACCACTTGCTATATTGTCACGGCACCGCAACCGTGAAGTTTAGTCTTAGCGCAAGTGGTTAAACTCTAAATTAAAAGAAAATATTTTTTGGCGCAAGTAAATTAATTCATAGGTTAGTAATTTTCAGGGGGGGGGGAAACTACGAAAATCCGTTTTTAAAATTATTGCGAAAAATCCAAGAAGAATCGTCCTTTGATAAAACGTTTCTTCTTGGATTTTTCGCAATAATTTAAAAACGGATTTTCGTAGCTTTCTTTTTCTCAAAGAACGTTTCTTCTTAACACGTTTCTCAATTTCCGGTACACATCGCAGAGAGGGAAATTCTGGCCGCCAGGTTCCGTCGCCAAATCCCTTGGCAAATTTTCCCTCCGCATTCTAGCGGCGTAATAGCATTTTACTTGTATGGAAAATTTTCTTCTTTACATAGACCAAAGAATTAGAGATTCTTTGCATAGACGTTTTTTTTGGTTAAAATAATCTCCATGTATGGATTTGGCGACATGATGATGCGCAGTAAACGGGTCATTTTGGTCTTGGCGACAATTTTCAAAATCGTGCCAAAGCCTTACCGTATACTAGAATTTTACCGCAAAATCTTTTTAAACTTTTCTTTTTTTAATAAATACCTTGCCATTTTGCAGTAAAATAAAAAATAGTAATCTGTCATCTAGGCTAACCATGTAATATAACTATATTCGCTAAAATATCGTTGATTATTCTAATTCAATTTTTAAGTAATTATCTTTATTTTTATGTTATTCGTATAATTTAATGACGCTTCTTCCCTCTAAATTTATTAATTATTAGTAAATAATATTTCTAAATTTCAGGAAATTTTCTCTGGCATAATCTTGAAATTAATTCTAGTAGTATGATGACATACCATCATGAAATTTAATGCACATATTTTTTTCTTATGTATGCTGCGAACTAAATATAAAATACCTCAATTTATTAAAATAGATTTCTTTGTTTCGTTTAGCTGCAGAATATCTGCAAAAAAAGCCTTATTTCATTCCAGATTGGGAAGATTCTAATCTCAATCTTCAATGGAGAAAACAAGAACTATTATAATTATATTTGTGTTTTCAAGTGTTAGGTGCTTTTTAAGAACATACCTCACACAAATTAAATTTACCTAAAATCTAACCTAACTATTTAGCATTGCGTTGTGATTTATAAGGACCGGATTAGCCTCGTGTTGAACTGGTGATGATCATGAGTAATAATTTAAAATAAACATACATTTGTTATCCAATATATATATCTTAAATTTTATTAAGTTTCTTAAGTGTAAAAGTAAACAAAATTATCAAACAAAGTATACCAAGAATAATTAAGAATAAATATCCTCTGGGATTTATTGAATAATTAAGTGAATTTGCTACACAATACAAGTAATACCATAATTTACCTCTTAGCATAGCCAACGTACATTACGCGGATAGACTGGAATTTTCTTGAAACGCACCTGTAAAACCTGGAAAAGTCAGGGAATTTCATTCTCCTGTTTGAGTGGCAACCCTGTATTAACCAAACTGATAACTGATTTAAAGGATCATTGAGAAACTGTAGTAATGTTAAAAAGGGTGAACAAAAATCGGTAACATTTGCAACTTTTTTTAACAGTGATAAATTTTTTGGTGTTTCCTATCTGGATAGTCAGAAAAATGTTTCCATTGCAGTGCTTTAAAAGATGTGGTGTTCGTAGACTAAAAATAAAAGTAACAGTGATTGACAATGAATTGATAGACAAATTTCAAAAGCTAAATGGATGAAGATGCCATTTTAGAATGGATATGCATAAAAAAAAAGCTAACAATATTTTCAAGTTTTGAGTGAAAAAGAAATCATTTGCAGCATAGATATGGAAAACAATGCAAAAGTTAGCCCTGCTGAAACTTTAATTTTATTTTGATGACAGTAGAGCATTCAAAAGTTATTTGCATTAAGGGAGGAATGCTTTCATGAATGACATTTTAAGGGAAACTATCTGTCATCATGTTCCACAGGGAAAAAAGCACAAAATCTCCATTACACTCTGCCCATTTGTTGAGTTTTAAAAACCTGGGTTGAGCTGTTATTACCTAGTGGTTTTTCTACTTGGTCCCTGGTAGGTGCTGAAAGTTTGAATAAAGCTTTTTAATGTTAATGACATTTTGTTTGGGGGGGGGAAAGAATAGCAGACCATTTACAAAAAATGTTTCATAAAAATACATGTAAGAAATTTGACAAAATTTCTCAAATTGAGTAAATTTTGATGGCATTTGCTTATTCCATTTTTTTTAATGTATATTTTTGTTACAGTATAAAATCTTGCATGAATTTGTTTTATTGAAGGATGTAAATTTTATCTAGAATCAGTTAAAAATGTTAATACTTGTGCGCATATATTTAGTATTTAAAATTGTAATATTATTTATTTCTGTATCTGGGAGTCTAAAAGGAAGTTTTTGTACATTTGCGAGGAAAATCTATGTCTAATTATATTTTATCTTTTTCCCTTTACAGATGGGGTCGTTGGGATGAGTGCATGGCTTTGGGACAGTTTCGTAGACGTTTATCTCATAAAGACTGTGAAGAAATTTCTCGTACAATTGTAAGCAGGCTTTTATATTATCCTCTCAAATGCTGCTGCTTCTTTTTTATGTAAATTTTTGTTTGGCTGCTATTTATGGAAAACTTTTATATTATCAAGATTGCAATGTGCATGTGAGGGTCGAGGTTGTCATAAAGGCTACCAAAGTTTTTCTGTGCATCACATGTCCTTTTATAAAGTAATCTAGTTTAGTTTTTGTTTCAGAATAATTGTGTATAATGGTTTTAATCTCTTAGTTTTGGTGTAAAATTCTATAATTTTTTTTTTTTTTTGGGGGGGGGAGTTAAAGCGTCATGAATGTTTAAACTTTTTTTTTTCGTTCTAACTTTAAAATGTTATGTAAAAATTTAAAACATTGTTACATTATAAAAAATATGATGCGGACACCACGTGACTTACTTGTATGGAATATTAAATTGTATGCATTTTTTGCTGTGTTTCATTTAAACTTATTTCCTCAAAATTCATTCTAGATATATTTTTCATTCCATTAAATCTGTTTTCACTTCGTGGCAAGGCAAAAATACATTAAAACCTTAAAATATCTTCATTAAAAACTGAAAAATATAGAAAACATAAAACACCAAATACAGTTAAACCAATTAAAAAAATTTTTACAATTAAAATTAGAATTTCTACGTAAAAGCAAGCAGTTCCACCAACAGGCAAGAAGGCAGATTTTTTGGAACGGGAAAAAAGGCAATGAAGGTGCAGAAACTGAGTTCACTTTTCTGCTAAGTTTCAAATGTAAACAAATATGGCTGCTGTGGTAGGAAAAATTACTTAGCCGCACATAAACTACTTTTAAATTGTTGATAATTATACAACTATTGCATGCAGATTAACTAAAGGCATAAAAATATCAACCAGAAGATAAGAAGAACAGAATTCAATCATTTTTAAAGCAAAAAATGAACAATTTAGCAATATATAAGAATTAAAAAATTGAGCTCATGGAGCCAAATAACAGAGTGGATATATATATATATATATATATTTCATAAGAATAAATTGAATTTAAATAAATTTAATTTAAATACAAATTTAATTAATTCATTGCGCCATTGCTATACTTTTGGTGTGGCCGATTGCAACCAAAACAGGAGGTGAACAACTACTTGTTTTAGCAGTCCTATGTACAAAATTTCAATGTTCTGAGGTTATTTATTTTTGAGTTATGAGAGATGCATACTCTTCTGAATCCATTTTAAATCAAAAAAACTCTTCTGAATCCATTTTAAATCAAGTTTATTGTGACGTTCAGACATATGCACCCCTTGGACTTCCAGGTGCTTAATGAGAACTTCCTGTTTTGTTCAGAGACAAAATGGACAGCAGAACTTTGAAGAAAAGTTCAGCGGAAACTCAACCCCTAGTGTGGTTTCCGGTCATAAGGGACTAATTATTCTCTTTCCAGGTTTTTAAGAAAACGAGTGAAAGCAGACGCACTTTAGCATAAATTATGGTTAAAATGATTCAGTTAATTTAATATTTATTCAAGAATTTCGTATTACGTTTTAAAAATAAATATTTTAAAAGACAACTTGTCTTTTCTTGCACCCAACACGGGTGTTCTGACATTACAGCTTTATTAAAATGGTAGCTGCATTTCAGATGAGAAAATCCATGCAGAAATTACAGACTGTCAGGCTCTGAAAATTCACCTCAAGATTGCGGGACAGTCATTGTCTGGATATCATCAGTGTTTTGCAGATATTACAGACCGTCAGGTTCTGAAGTGCAGCACAAAAAGTTACGAACAACAGTTCAGAAAAGTGATTACAGCTCTCCGAAGCTGTGAAATAAGAAAATCCATGCAGAGATTGCAGACCGCCAGGCTCTGAAATTCATCTCGTGATTGTAGGACAGCCATTGTCCGATCATCATCAGTGTTTTGCAGATATTACAGACCATCACGTTCTGAAGTGCAGCACGGAAAGTTACGAAAATCAGTTCGGAAAAGTGATTTACAGCTCTTCGAAGCAGTGAGATAGAATCCACGAGAAAGTTTATGGACGCTTGTCCAGACAAAAAGCAACGACAGTCTCCTGAATACAGCTCATCTTCAGCAGCATAAATTGTGCGATCATCGTGTGTTCGAGAAAAATTAGGGCAGAAGTGTGCAGACAAGCCCTGTCCGAAGATCATTGGGAAGATGCAGTGTAGTGAGGAAAAAAAAAAGGGGTAGTTGTGCGATCATCTTTGTACCTGAGAAAATTAGTGCAGTGCAGTGTATGGTGTTCAATGCAGTGTGTTCTTTGCCCGAAGATCATCAGATTATTGTGAATATGTAGTGTAGTGATAGTCTGCAATATTATATAAGTGTCTACAAATATGATATGTCTACAAATTCAGGTCCCTGATATAAGTGTCTACAATCCAAATGGGTAAGTACCTTGGATTTTTTATATTGAGGCAGTAAAGTAATTTAATTTATTTCTGTAATTTAGTATATAAGTTCATATAACTGTTTTAAGTTAACTTTGTTTTCTGTAAAGCTTTAAAAAATATGCTGTTTGGGTTTTATGTTACAATAAGAAGTATAAATTTTAGAATTTAAATCTGTATTAATAGATTTTTTAATATTTGAAAGGTTAATGTGTTGTGCTGAAACTAAGCTTATACAGTACAAAGTCCGTAATCCGGACTCATCGGGACTTCGGCGATTCCAGATTAAGGATTTTTCCGGCTTATAGATCATCAATTTAAATCTGGTAAGATGGCATGGAGAAATTATACAATTAAAAATATAAAATCGTAATTTAATGAAATAAAACAATTATGATCTAAAGGGTAACAAAATTTACAAAAAAAAAAAAAAAAAAAAAAAGAAAAGAAAAGAAAAGAAAAGAAAAAAAAAAGAAAACTTAATATTTATTTGTTTTACTTTATTAAAAATTTCTTATAATGTAAGTTGTTTAAGATGCTTCCTCTTTCAAATTCAAAAAGTTCCTTTTTCTTGTGTCATATATAGTGGACCATCCAATGCCTTACTTCTCGCGTAATTTTGAGACGGATAGGCCTTTATCCATTTTTTTTTGCAGCAATTCCACTTTTTGTTTAATGGACACCGAAACATGCTTTCACTTTGTAGATCCTTTGGCAGCTCCAGAATTAGAAACTCTTTTTGACATAATTGAAGTTCAAGCTTAATTTTTATAAAAATTTTCTAACAGCCTGCAAAAAATAATAAGCCGAATCCAATTAGAAATTAAGGACAGCACAATCTGCAACATTAACTGAAATGCCTTAGATAATTTTAGCCTAGCTTATACCGTCCGTTATACATTAAACACGCATGCACATAAAGTTTGTAACTTTGAGGTCCGGATTATAAATCATTCTGGATTATGGACGTCCAGATTACAGACTTTGTACTGTATAATTGAATGTGTAAGGGAGAAGGAATTATTGTATCTTTGAAGGTTCTAAGTATAGGTGGTATTCTGACATTCACTTCTAAGACGTCTTGAATATTATAAATATTAGAATTTTCAGTTAAGGTGTGTAAAACATTAGTTGTGTAAGAACTGAGGAAAAAATTTTTGTTTTTCTATTGAATGAATAAAAGGGGAATGCTAGAAATCTCCAGTATTTTTCATTTTTACGGTTGTCATATTAATGTTTAGTTATGAGCATGTAGATATTTTTTATAATTAACCTTTGAACGGATATTTTAATATACCTCGAATTTTGATGAAAGTATATTGTATTATCATAAGCAATTGAGTTTAACGCAACTGAATTTAAAACTTTTAAGAGGTAGTATTATGTGTAGTATCCTAAGTCCTCGAGTAGACAAATTTTTATTTGAACGCATAATGTGCATATTATAGTGTCAACTGTCTTGTTTTTGTTGATCTGTAAAAAATGTGAAAAAATTTAAGGGTTCAATTTTACTCTCTATTTGTGAAATGATATTTCTTAAAATCAGTTTTATATATATGTAGCGTGAGGGAGCTAAAATTGTTAGGTTGTTATCATAATTTTGTTTTATATCATGGCAAAAATTAAGAAAAAGGATCTTAAATCCTTGGCTGAAGAGTTAGGGGAAGAAGTTAGGCCTGAACTTAGGATATTGGATTTAAGACAACTGATTATGGGAAATGAATCCTATGAGGAGGAACTAGTGAAAGGCATGTTAGAAAATATCACTTCAGAGAGGCATGAAAGAATTAGGAGAGAAGAAAAAGTGTGGCAAGAAAGAATTAGGAGAGAAGAAGAGAGGCAGGATAGAATTAGGTGAGAAGAAAGGCAAGATAGAATTAGGAGAAAAGAAACGGAATTTGAATTATCGAAATTGAGATTACCAGCCGCTAATGGAAATGACTCTGGAAATAGTGGGAATGAAGAAAATGGGCTTAAAAAAAGCCATTAGGATCTGAAAAAAATGATTCCATAATTTGATCCTGAAGAGAGTGATATTAGTTTGTATCTAGTTATGTTTGAGTGCCAAGCAAAGCGTGTGAATCTTCACCAGTCAAAATGGGTTTCTGTTTTATTGACCATTTTGCCAACGGACAGTTCAGCTGATTATGCGAGAACCAGAACAGCAGGCTTATGACTACCATTACGTAAAGAGGATATTGCTTAAAAGGTTTAAGCTTAGTCCAGAAAAATTTCGCATCAAATTTAATCCCAGAAATCCCAGTTTTTCTGGAATACCAGAAAAACACTCAAACCACTTGGAGAGGTTTTGCCTTTGAATTAAGGAATTATTTTGAAGAATGGATTGCAGGTTTGGAAGTTACCGTTTTTTAACTTTTAAAGGATCTCATTATAATGGAGCAAATGAAGCGCCGTGTAAATGTCGAAGTGCGGCAGCATTTTATTGACGAATGGTTGAAGATAACGACTCCAAATAAAATAGCAGAAATGCTAGAAGAGTATGAAAACATACGTGAAACCCGGAAGAATATATCTCCTGTGCATAGTTCTGAGTCACAACGGGGAAATAAAAATCATTTAAATTCAAGAGATCCACACAAAAGTATCACCAG